ATATATATATATATATACACACACACACACACACACACACATATATATATATATATATATATATATATATATATATATACATACACACACACACACACATATATATATATATATATATATATATATATATATATATATATATATATATATATATATATATATACACACCCACACACCTATAAGCATATGATGTGTGCTGATACTTTGATTATCTCTGACAGCCTGTAGAATGTGTTCTTCATGTTCAGGTGTATGAGTGGATCTTGGCCTTCCTCAATCCATAGTTTGTGTTGCCATGGATCCTGTCTCAGAAACACAATGATAAACGGCAGCAAAGTTTGGCTGACTCGTCTGCCTTTGGTCAGGAAACACAATCTGATACAGCTGTATAGCCTCACATCCATTACCATTCATGTGGCTGTATGTAAAAATAAAATCTGCCTGCTCATGATATGAATATCCTGTCATCGTTAAATGGGACACTTCTCCATTAAATCACTACTACACTCGTTAAATGTTGAAGACAGACTAGGTACAAATTTACACGAATGACAAATGTAACCTCGTCTATGTGGCAACACAGAGCCATCTACTGTAAACTTTCTTTAAACTTAGTAACTCAAAAACAAATATTATGTATGTTTATATCGACTTTTGTCCTTGTTTAGTGTGATAAACATTCTCCCCAAAGTTTATAAAAGTCTTTTTGATACACCCTGTATATCATTGATATGAATAGATGGAGATCTATCTATCTATGTCTCTCACTTGCTCTCTCTATATAAATAGATATGAATAGTATTTATATATATATATATATATATATATATATATATATATATATATATATATATATATATATATATACAAAATTGGACAGCATTTTTCATTTCATCATCACATTTGTCAGCAAGTAAATAAATACACATCAATAGATTTTATTCAATATTGTTGTCATTTATATAAGTTAAAAATAATTCCCACTTGTTGGATATTGCAAAAGTGTACATGTGTGTTTTTTTTGTCATTTTGTAAATTTTTTAAATCCAATATTATGATGTTGCAATAAGCTTTTATGAATGTAAACAGGAATTTCTCCTGTTGCTACATGATCTATACTAATATGAAGGCTTCAGAAAATTATATTTTTAATATTAAATACTGATGTTTCTTTATTTGTACAAGTGAATACTGTGGCTTTGACCACAAAATGAAGATGCCTGTTATAATGTTTTTATTTTTTTTCAGTGCTAGTTTTAAATCTGAATTCTTTTGAAAAGAATAGGGTAATCATGTCACATCATTCCCTTATTCAGAAACACCCTTAAATGGTTTCATTTTTTCTTTATATTGGAGAAACAATCATATATATACAACTGTATACTTATAACGCATTATAAATCTGTATGTATAGTTGATAGAAGAAAGTTATCATACATTTATAATCAAAAAAATATTTACTGATAAAAATGAAAGGGCAATAACAGAGATCGTATATTGCTAATTATTTATATCTTTGCTTCTAATTTAGTTTGTCCGGATGTCCAAGGAAAGACAAAGTGTCTCCTGAAGGTGAGTCACCTTTCAATGGATTAGTCACACTCTTTTGTGTTCAGGTTTATACAAGAAACAAAGCTTTTAGATATTGTAAATTTCCAGTTTCAAATAACAGATTTATTCAAAAGATTTTATTATTTTACAATCTTTCAAATTTCATGTGTTTTTGTTCTTTATATTCTACCGAAAATTGAACAGATAAAAGTTCAGAGGCTGGGTTTTTTATGTATCATAGCTGACAAGGCATCTGTATAATAGATTAATCTTTTTTACAGTGAATATTTTTAAATTAGACTCTTGTTCGCAATATTATGCAGACTTTATAGGAAGGATTGACTTATAAGAATCATTTCTTTTTTTCTTTTTTTAAATCTGTTCTTTTAGTAGAAAAATAAAAATTATTTAAAAAAAATATGTTTCAATTTATCTTTTCTAATTCTTAAAAACTTGCCTCTTCAATGTTTAATAAGTTTATCACAATGCAAAATTAAAGATAATTATTAAGTGAAATGTTTCTTTCTAATAATTAGTAAGAAACAGTCTGTAACTGTTTTCTTAAACAAAGGATATTCACTTACATTAAACAAGATGAGGTCAATAAAAACAAAATAAATGGTAGATCTTTTTATAGATCCTCTTAAAAGAAATAACCAGAACCCCAGTTACATTCAATTCCTGCTTTTAGTAGAAATGAAGAAAGATGTCACAAACAAGTGAATCCTTAAAATCCTCTCTCTTGATAATGTTGGTTTTGTGTTGATTGTCTTTTAAAACATATTTTTTGATACTACTATACTCAATGATTTTGTCATTTTCATTTTTTTAATTTCCAGTACTTGCCCTCCAGGATCACATTCTGCGGTGTCCAACGCCAGGATGTAATGGACGAGGCCATGTCAACAGTAATAGGAATTCTCACAGAAGGTAAGAAGAAAAAATAAATAAATATACATACACAATATATATATATATAAGAAATCAATAGATGTTTTTGCAAAAAAAATATATTATCAACAATACATTTTTGTAAGAAAAAACAACATATTACATATTAAAAAAGATAGCACCTGCAATACATTTTTGCAAACAAAAGATTGCCAGTAATGGGAAAATGAAAGTAAATCTTCATATTTCAATGTAAGCACTGATGACATCAACCAGTTTCCTCAAACGCCCAGGAATGGAATGAACAACCTTTTGAAGGACATCATTTGGGATATTGCTGAGACTCTCCTGAATTTGTGTCTCTAAGTTCTCCAGTGTCCGAGGTTTTGTCTTTTACACATCCTCTTTTGTGTAACCTCACCAGGTAAAACTCACATGGTGTGAGATCTGAACTTCTTGGAGGCTATTCATGAGGTCTGTGTTGTCCCATTCAATGTTGGAAAATGTTGGTGAATGAGATGGTGCACCATCCTGCATGAATATCAGGTCACCAATGTTATCCTAGCCAGAAACCATGGGCCTCATGTAATTTTTGAACGTCTGAAGATAGTGGTTGAAATTCATGGTGTCATGCATAAGATATGGGCAGATGGGTCTTGCTGCCATCATTCCACTCCACGCAGTCACTTTTCGTCATGTTCAGATCATTATCACACAACACCCAGTAATAGCAGTTGTGACGATTGATGAAACCACCAACATGGAATACAGCCTCGTCACTCTACAGGATGTTTTCAAACAATTCAAGCCAATTTTCATGCCAGCCTTGCATTAACTCTCCAGATTCCAGTCTTCAGGTTTTAGCTCCTGCACATAAATAAGAAATCCCTATTAGTGTTGTCTGTATAACAAAATACTTTTGTCATGACTTCAGTGATACTAAAAATTCTATAAGCAATTTCTAATGCCTAGTTACTTTCCACCCACCTTGTGTGTGTGTGTGTGTGTGTGTGTGTGTGTATATATAAAAAATGCTGTCTGATCCAATAAGAAAAACAACCTAATTTCTGGTGGAAGGAATTCTTGATTGCCAACACCTTTTTTTGTGCTGATAATTTCAGACACACAAATATATATATATATATATATATATGCACATATTTGAAAGCTACTGTTTAAAAAAGGAAATATGAAAATGTACTTAGTTATAATTTATATAAAAAATCTTTATCTATTTTTGCAGAGGGACTAAATTTTATTACACCAATAAAAACAGACATATTAAGATTACATTCATAACAAAAAATATATATTAGTGTAAATTGGTAATACCAAAATATATTACCAGTTTATGGTAATATATATTTTTTGTTACTCTTCTTATTTATGGAGAAATATTTGTACACCATGAATTTTTTTATTTAACATAGATTTTATAAAAGCATTTTTTACTCAATACAATATTTTTGTATACCATGGCATAACACTGCAATATGCAAAAAAATATTGGAAAAATTTGTTATATTAATGAAATTAAAAAATTTGGAGGCAAAAAAAGTATTTGTACAAAATTATAATAGCTATTTAATACTTTGTAGCATATCCCTACCTCAATTCAACAACAATCAGTCTCTTTCTGTAGCTTTCAATCAATGATTTTCAAATTTCCATCAGTATTTTATGCCATTCTTCTTTGCATCTTTAGGTCTAGGATGTTTTTTGAAGCTCTTTTATTAACTTGTATTTTTAATAAACGCCACAAATTCTCTCTTGGATTTAAGTTTAGAGACTCTGATGGCCATTCGAGTGTATTGACATTGTTTTCAATAAGTCTATTTTCTGTAGATTTAGCCATATGTTTAGGGTCATTATTTTGTGAAAGCCATTCATTTGGGGGTCCAAGATTTACTACTGACCAAAACATCTTGGTATATTTTTGAATTCATTCTACCATCTATTATTACTAATTTATCTGTACCATTAGCAGAAAAACATCCCCAAAACCATATTGCCACTACCAAATTTCACTGTTGGGATTGTGTTCTTTGGTACAAAGGCTGTGTCATCTTTTCTCCAAATGTGAGTCCTTGAATTGTTCCCAAATAGTTCAATTTTTGATTCATCTGTCCATAAAACACTTCCGAAATGAACCAGGTTTATTCTTATGCTCACAAACAAATTTTAACTGGGCATCCCTATGTTTCTTCATTAATAGTGGAGTTCTTGAAGAACGCGGATCTTAGTTGACATCTATGAAATTCATTGCCTATTGTTCGCTTCATAACAATAACAACTGATGCTTTTAACTCTTCCTGTATTCTCTCTGAGTAGTCATTGGATTTTCTTGAATTTTGCACTGAATTCTTCTCATTGATCTGAGAGAGAATCTTGCATGGTGCATCAGATCTTGATTTATTCTCAACAGTTTTCACCTTTTTATACTTAGCGATAATAGTAATAAATGTTATATTCAGGATATCTGCTATTTTCCTATAGCTTTTGCCTTCCTTTCAGTGTTTGATGATCAATTCTTTTTGTGAATTTGATAGTTCTTTGCCTTTCTCCATGATAATTATTGCTTATGATTTGTGTGCGTAGATAACATTATATAAGAAATGAATTGCGAAATGTTGGAGATTGGTCTGGTATTAAAATAACTGGAAGAAAGAATTATGTAAATGAAGGTAATTTAAGCTTTTGACATTAAAGACATATTTTGTACAATGACTTTTTCACTTTGAAATTTTATAAAAAATACATAATTACATTTATAACAAAGTTTTCTAATTGTTTTTTTATATTGCAGCATTATGCAATGGTATAGAAATATTACATGGAGTGTAAGGTTTTTCATAAGTTATAATTATGTTAATTAAAAAGTTTCAAGGTGTACGAATATTCCCCCCACCGTGTGTGTATATATATATATATATATATATATATATATATATATATATATTATTATTATTATTATTCATACATACAGAATGAGTGTTGTGGTGTAATGCATATTGGCTCAGAATTTGAATTTGTTATATTCACTTATGCACAAATACCCTTGGTAAAGGTATCAATCCATCTCTTCTCCCCCAACTATGGGTTAAATAGCAGTTCATTAACCTTGGTTAGCAACCAGTTTACCACAGAAAGAAATGGCAACCTACTGCAGGAAAAAACTTCTGCCTCGTCAGTCATGTATCAAAAGACATGATCACCCAAGCATGTTTCATTTGTAGCACTTAACTGACTGACTGACATACATACATGCATATCCAAAATAATAATAACTATATATATATATATATATATATATATATATATATATACATATATATATATATATATATATATAAAATAAAACTATTATTCATACATGCATATCTATCTATCTATCTATATATTATTCATACATACTTAAATGACTGACATACATACATACATATCTATCTAAAGTAATAATAATATTTATATATATATATTTTAAGACATTTTTTATGTTTATACATTCTTTTTATGAAAAAAAAAGAATGTCTTAAAATAATTGTCAGACTTTGTCCATTTCATATTATATATATCTGGCATCTCATCTACAGTCACTCTCTCACAGACGTGCCATTACCTCTCTCAGTCTTTTTTACAAATACTTTCATGGTAATTGCTCCGAGTAGCTGCATTCGCTGGTTCCCAGACTTCATGACTTCAAGCGCCCTATGAGGCTGGCATCCCGCTCTCACCCTTTCACTTTCAAAACTACTAAATGTAGCCGTCTCTTCTACTCCAATAGCTTCATGTCTCGCACCTCTTGCCTGTGGAACTCCCTTCCCTATTCCAGTTTCTCTGAGAGCTATAATCTCCAACTATTCAAATGTAATGTCAATTGACATTTCCAGTTGCCTTGATCTACCACTATCCTTCTCCTCATCCTTTCCTCTATCACTTCTATCTGATCTTGCTCCAAATCTTCTGTAACCCCTTGCGTCCTAATGGCTTCCCACCTTGCTTGGGGTGAAACGCTTAAAAAAAAAATATATATATAATTATTATTATTATTATTCATACATATATAGACATGTGTATATATATATATATATATATATATATATATGTGTGTGTGTGTGTGTGTGCATGTATGTATTAATAATATTTTATATATTTATGAATATAGTATTTACTTTTCTAAATAGATCATTTAATTTGTTTATATTGACAGAGTGGCCATAGAAATCAACATTGCATAAGGAGTCTCAGCTTCATACCTCAAGTAATCTTCAGACCATGTATAATAAATAATATAAATATGTGTTTCATAACTTATAAGAGACTGATATTAATCTATCTATTATCTCCTGTGTCTACAGGTTATCATTCGTTGTGTAGTAAGCTTGAAAATATATCTAAAATATTTACATTTTATTTCCTGGAATTGTGTTTGGGTTTAATTGTATATTTCTCCTTATTCCATTTTCCATAATTTACCTAGTATGTTTTATTTCTTTATAGTCTGTCTGGATGTCCCATTGCAGCCATGGGGAAAATGATGAATTCTCAAAATAATAAAAAGACAGGTCAGTTCACATTGTTGTTGTTGCGTGTGTATGTTTCCTTGATCAATATCACATCTTATATTTATTATTTTTTTTTCTTCTTCTCTCTTTACTATCAACACAACATTTTTATACCTTTATATTAGCTGACCATCTTTTTGTAAAAATAATCTGATTGCATCAACACAACAATATTTTCTCTACTTCCGTTTTATATGAGTTTACCAACATAAAACACATATCACTAACTCTAATAATTATGTACAAAAGCTGAGTATCATCTGTCATATATTCAGTTGTGAAAGTAAAATATTTTTATTACTTGAAAGCTCCCAAGTAAATTCAATTTTGGCATTAAATGACCCATTGTTAAACAAATCAATTTTTTTTCCAAATTCTCAAAAAATTCAGTCTTTAAAAGGTTCAAATTATTCTTTGCTGTTAAACTACTGAGCTTCCATGCCAAATCTATTTTTTATTTTAAAAAGGTTTTCAAGAAAAAAATCCGTACTTTAATCTTTTCATCATCTTGTCTTTCTGTTTCGTTTACTGCAGAACTAGATTTAAAAAAAAATTTAACTTAGTTTCTTCTTCCATTGAAAAGTTAGTTGTAAAGGGAGATAATTTCCTATGTATGAATACCCATTACTTCCCCTGATTAAGTAATATAGCTTTTATCGTCCTTATTTTCAAATTTAATAAATTGTTTTCAAATAAACCTAAAAGTATTTATCAATGATTTATTAATTTAATCTCAACTGAAAACGCAATCTTTCAATTTTGTTGCCACTTTATAAAAGCATATAAAAACAATTTAGCTAAACCCATAATCAGAATATCTTTATCTAGATTTTTATATTTAGTTAAAAGTCATTAACAATTTGTTTATTATATTTTATGAATTTAGATTAACCTATCTAATATCTAATAGTTTGATTCTTTTCATTTTTTATTAAATAAAAAGATTTTTTCTTTAAATTGTTATTTTATTCTTAAATTATAGAAAATTAAATTATTTTGATAGTTTGTGTTTTATTCTGCGTTGTTTGAACCCAACCAATGCCATACACAGGTACTTTAATATTTTAATGAAAATATTCGTAGGTTTTTAAGCTTAAACTGGTTTATGGATTATTGTCTTATTGAATCATTTACTAAGAAAAGTGCATTTTTTTTTTTTTTTTGAATTGGATATTTTAATTCTTTAAATTTTTGTGTCAATATTGGAATAATAATAATAATGATGATAATAATAATGATTCTGTGTTTTTTGCTAACCTAATAAACACTAACAAAGTTTTGTCTCTTCTTCTATGTGTCCATTATTTTTTATTGCATTTTTATCTGCTATAATAATTATCAAGTTTGAAAAATGCAACCAACCTAAAGATTTACATCCTACAACTCTTTGTTAAATTGGCACATTATATGTGAATTATATCACCTGATGGGTGCATAGCGTAACAGTGGAAGACATGGAAAGTGCAAATCAGTGAGCCGATTCAAGTTCCGGTTTCACTTTTGCATTAATGCTCTTTGGGAAGGCATGAATTTATCTTCCCTCAGTTATGAGCTAAATAGCTGGGTAGACTGGGCTATTATTGAGCTATTGATGACAGCCAGTCTAGAACTCTGAATTCAAAACTTCAAAGAAGTCAGTGGAAAAGCACTCCACTATATTTCCCAAGATGTCATGGTAATTCACAGATAATAAAGAAAAAGGAATCAGTCCTGAAAGGACATGGCATAATTGAAAAAAAATATTGTCTGGGGTCTGGCACTAGGGTAATTTGTAATTTTTTTAAATTACAGTAGCAAAAATTATGTAAATATTTTATTTTATTTCGTTACTGTTTTCAGAAGCTAATATAAAAGAACTTGAGTCTAATTTTAATTTGATCATTGCAATGAAATATATGCTCCCATGATAATATTCTAGTTGAAGTATTTATTTTGCATTCAATTTTCAATTATTTTACATTGAAATAAATTGTAAATCTTATTGAATTAGGTTTACTCCTTCTTCTGTTCACTTTGTAAATATAATGAAATGTTTCCTCCAATTATATTGTTTCGTGCGTATGTGCCTTTAAAAATGATGTTGTGTTGTCATAGGTATGAATGTTTCGGTTGCATGAGTTATCTCCCTTGTATTGATTATGGAACTTTCTATTGAGACGCTAAACTCTGATCATTGATACACGTTTAAATTTTTTTCCTTGTTGCATTTGTCATGTTTAAAGGTCGTTGTATATTTTCGACACAAGCGTTAGCGATCACTTTATCAAAACACATCTGTTTTCTTTATTGGATATTTATTGGAATTGTATAATGCATTTAATACATAATCATTGAACAACTATTGATGTGTTTTTTCTGATAAATATTTGAAATATAGACACAAATCATGACACTTGAAAAATATATTTTAAAAAAGACAATCTAAGGATAATTCATCCAAATAAAATCTTATTTCATATTTAAAGACATTTTAAACAGTACTTTAGTGATAAAACTCTTTAATGTTCAAAGGATATTTTCAATGCCAAAAACAAGAATTGTTTTAAAAAAATGTACAATTATGAATTGATAACTAACGTTATTTCCGTTTATGTGTTGAATGATGAGAGAGTTATCCAACAGCAAGGCCTCTGATTGAGAGATTGAAGGTTTTGGCAAGCATGGAACCACATCTTAATTGCTATTCTTCACAGATTCACTCTGATCAATGGTAGTAGCACCTGTTAGGGTCCTAGCTATGGGCAAATAGTGAACCCCCAAACAAAAACAAAACACTATGAAAATATAAAAATACATTTTTATAGTAAAAATACCAGCAATAGATTTTTATATAAAAAAAATTACCAACAATATATTTTATCTGTAGTTGAAAGTATTCAATTGTGTTCAAAATATATTTATTTGAAGCCATAAAATTGTGTTCAAAATATTTAGATTTCAACACTAAATAACCCATAGAGTTTGAAATGTCGCTGAACAAAATCCACCTCCAACTGAGAGGGTTTGATTGTATATATTCTTTGTCCAATTAATATTGTTTTGTAATCTTTGTTGTATTGGAAGAAACATTTCACTTTTTTTAAATGTTGTTTTGTATTTTCATTTTTGCCAGCACACTTAACTACAACATGATCCAACATCACTGACCTTAAAACATCTAAGCAAGAATAATAAAATCAGTTGTTAACAGGGAAGATAATGAAAGTCAATGTCTTTGTTGTAATAATTAAAAATATGAAAGATGGTAAAACTACAGTACTTATACAATAATAGGTTTGGAAATTTTTGCTTTTTGAAATTTTTTGCTTTATGATAGGAAGATAATTTTATGTACAAGTGGATGCTGAAAAGTTTTTGGACTGCCCAAAAGAGATTAAAAAATTTTGATGTTTGGTCTCTTAGTCTGATTTTGGAAAGTAGGTTGGGCTGAGAACTTTTAGCACAATTCTTGTACAATATGTCATAATATCAAGAAAAGCCTGATGACCAATAAATTATAGACATTTAATTTACATGAATTGAATGAAACTGATAATATTTGTATTGGTTTTTCTTATTTCAAAATTTTACAATGTCCTTTCATTTTAGTTTTCTCCCACTAGCTAAATTATTTTATTAACTTGTAGAATATATTTTTTAACCATTTTAAGGCAAGTCACATAATTCCTTATGAGGTCTTCCAAAATATCTTGATTAAATTCCTTTGCTATATAAGTTGTTGTGATTTACATTTTAGAAAACTACTTTTTTAGTTCATATATTTCCATTAAATTGAATTAAAAAGGATTTTGTTGATATTTCTTATTCTAAAACAAAAACTGTCCAGTTAAATTTGACTTGTGTGTCATCAAATTTCACTCAAGAGCATTGTAATTATAAATTATAATAATATCACCAAAACTCAACAGTTTTATTCATTTATTTAAACTATTTAGATTATTTAAGAGTTTATTTAAGCTGCTGCCATTAATGCAAAAACTGGTCAATTGGGAAAATTGCATTTGATTTGAATTTACTGTTGAAAAAATTATAGATATTTTTTCGTTAGATGAATATTTTTTATTTGTAATTAAAGATATTGCTGCATCAACAAAGCAACAATCTTGATTGTGACTGACAAATAAATATATTCTGAAGAATTACAAAATATGTGTTATGTCCATTTGAATCTGAGCTTTTCTTTAAAACTAGTTTCATACTGTTTCATAATACTAGTTTCATACTGTGTTGTGATATTTTGATAAAATTTAACTAACAGTAGAATTAGAATATTTCTTTTAGTCATGAATGCTTAATGAATTTGACTTGAAAAAGTCTGTTAAAAAAAAAAAAGGACAGGCCTATGAACGAAGTAACCTTTGGTATGTAGGATAAATTTTTTAAGATATGTTTTTTGAAAAAATATTTTTTCAACACCAGGAAATGCAATAAATGTATATATTTGAAAATGCAGGAATGCATTCTTCTTTAAGGATTCTTTTCAACTTTGTCAGAATATATTGGTAAATATTGACAGAATAGCAATTTGCACTGCAAGAAAAGAAAAGTATAAGGAGGAGAGAAAAAAAAGGAACCACAACTGAAATATGAATTTATTAATAAAAATGAAGGGGCAGGGGAAATAATAAAATATACTGGCAAAAGACCATATATATATATATATATATATATATATTCAAGCAGTTTAGCTCCAAAATATTATTGAAGATGACGGCTGTAATGTTGGACCTTGTTATTGATATTTTGATGGCTGTGTTGTATTTTAGTTGTGCGTCCAGTTTGCTGTAACGATTATTGCTGCCTGCACTGTTGGCTTGTGTGTTTTTGTTTTGGCAATAGGCCTGCACCTTGTCCTCATTCCCAAGCATGACGACCCTTCTAAGGCCGTTCTAGCTGCCTGCACGGAGACTGACCTGCTCAGGCTGGCCGCTCATGAGGTGAAGTCGGGTCCGTAACCTTTGTTCATCATCAACATTTTCTCATTTTCAATCTTCTTTATTTCATCATCATCACGTTTCAATTAACTTGTTTTGAATTTGTATATCCAAATACTTCACAAATAAGTGAATTTTATTTTTTAAATTCTTAACAAAGTGTCAAGATGTGTATACATAATTTCTTTTCGGCATCTCGTCACATACTTGTAAGCAACTTATTTTCCTATTCTTTTAAAGTTATTATTTTTATAAGTCAGTAACTTTTCATTTTAGAACCAGAGATTTAAAATTATTTATAGATAAATTCTTTAAAATTTTGAATAATGTTACACCAAATGTCATTTTGATTCTAATCAAAAATTAGATGAAGAAAATCCAATGAAAGCAATTTGAAAAAAAGGATTCTTACAATGAAAGAAAAACAGTGAAGCAGAACTTTTGTTTGGTAATTTTAAACTGTTTCATAAAAATCTGTTTTATTACAAAATTCTTATAAAATTTATTTTGAATATAATTTCTTGTCCATTTTCATAATTTTTCATATAAAAATTCTCTGTGTGTTTGTATATTATTTACACACTGAGCACAATATTAACAAAACTTAGCTTGACTTGCACATTGTATTCTTTAAATAATAAAAAATCACTTAAATTTAACCAATATTTTGTTTAGAATTCACTGCTGTGAAATAAATATAAAATGTTGTAAATCTTGAATTCTGAGCTGAAATATTTTCATTGATTTTTGGCTACTTTTCTTCATCTGATTTTGCTGAATTTTGAATTGATTATTTATTTATAGATATTCTGCTCCACTTGAGAAAATCTTCCAAAGAATTCTTCCTTTTGTCTTGCTTATTTTCTTCGTGTGTTACCACTTGCATCTAAATTCTTTTATGAAATATTTCTAAGTGTTTTGTTCAATCAAAGAGTAATTTTCAGGATCATTCTGTGTCTGAATAAATGGCAACTTTTAGTTCATACTTTATAAAAGATGACAAAAAGGAATATTGTATTTGCTATTTAGCAATGGCTAAATAAATGTATTTTAGCCATTGTGTGTCATTGTCTGCACCATCCAAATCTCTTGTTACATGTTCTTTTCTCTCTTCATATTGAGAACACATTACAGCAAGGTTTCTGCCACAACCTGGGTCATATTTTGGTGGTTTTGCAACCTAAGTTTTCTGAAAAAGCTTTTTCTTCACTTGACAAGAAATTTATCCTCTTATTTTACAGTCAGAGCAATTTATGGTCAAATGATCCCTAAATGAAAAAAAGATATCCAATTTGAATTGCCCAATATATATATACAGGGTGAGGCAAAAGTTGCACACCATAGGGATAAATTATTAAAAGTATAATTACACATGAAAATTGTATTTACTAGTTGTTTAATTGTTATAGGTGCTATTCAGAATGTCATCCTTCTTTTTCAAAACACATATCAATTCTGTGCCTGCATGATACATTAAGACGTTGAAGAGTTTCCGCTGGGATTTTACTGCATTCATATTTAATTCTTTCTTTAAGTTCATCAATATTTATTGGGCACGTCTGATAAACAACTGATTTCAAATGGCCCCACAGAAAAAAAAATCTCCACCCAAAAGGACATCAACTTATCCATTAACCTGTATGGATCGCCACTTTTTCCCCACCATACATATATATATATATATATATATATATATATATATTATAAATTAATTGATTTAAAATATGTTTTTTTCGCTTAATTTATATTAATGCTCTGTAAATTTACATTGAGCACTATTTTGTAAAATTAAAAATATCCATAAGAACACCGGATTATATATCTTACTGTTCTTTCTTTTTATTTATATATACATATATATATATATATATATATATATATATATATAATTATTTATTTAAAAATATGATTCCAACTCATGACATAAGAGGTCTTATGTTTCAAAAACAAGAGCCAAAAAAAACTCATTATAATTATTTGAATTAAATTGAGTTTTATATATATATATATATATATATATATATATATATATATATATAATAAAATGGATAATTATAGGTAAATGCACAAACAAATATTAGGATACAAATACATATACCCTAGTGTAAGAAAAAACTGTACTCAGTGTTAAATAACAGAGCTATTATATAGTAAAAAAATATACTAAATAATTTACATAAATCTGTCCAATTTAGTTTGTTCACCAACTCTAGCAATAAGGATATTTTTAACAAACATAAAGGCAAATATGTAGAAACACTAGAACATCGTAACCATAAAATTAACCTTAAATTCTTAGCCAATTTGTGTTTCCTCAACACCTACAGAGCCCACCCTATGGTTTGTACTATGTTGAGCAGACTTAAGCTACAGCATCTGGGAAACTGCTCATAAACTGTCATGAGAAGCAGTTTTAATGACATCAGTTTACCCAAACACTCAGCCATGATGACTTGTAATTTTATGCTAACAGAAATCATCAACAGCTAAACAGTTCCGTCTATTCAATTTCACTGACAAGGCCTGGCTCTACTCATGCTACTGTTTTCAGGCACTTTTCAACATTGCTGTATGCTAGGTTCACCTCCCTAGACTGAAAACATCAAGAAAGTTTAACAAATTGATCCTGGTCAGATTCAAACCTGTGTCCCATCGTTGGAAAGTAAATATTTTAACCACTCGGCCATGTGCATCATAAAAGAATTAAGCCAAATCATGAAAAAGAAGTGCTGTCATAAAATAAACCAATTCAAATTTGCAATTTATGATGACAATAAAAAGATGATTTGAACATATTAATTAACTTATTTAGTCTCTGCACTCTTAAAAAAGATAACAATATTTTAATAATTGTGAAATTATATAGGTTATATTTTTATCTCTGCAGTTAACTTTATTGTTGCATGTAAAAAAAGAATTCTGGTTTAAAAAAAGATTAATGGAAATGTAACAGGAAACAAATAAATATAAAGCAATATATTAGGAGTCTGGTCAACCCTACATACTAATGTGTTATTCAGTTATTAGGATAACATAAGGCATGTCTGAATATTGATGTAATGTAATGATTCTTGTTGCCATAAAAATGGAATATCTCATTGCAAATATGGGAAATCAGGCTGCATGACTAATAAATATTTGGCTTCATTTGGTGTTTTATATTTTTAGAGTAGATGTTGGGAAGGGAAGGGGGCTATAAAATTTAAAAAATTTCATTGTTACATTTTGGCAATTGTTTAATTGCATGATGATCCTTATTTTCTTCTTCACCCCAAATTTGGTGTCATTTATTTCTGTTATTGTTGTAATTTGTAACTAGGACCTCTTACTGATGTTGTTGTTGTTGTTGTTTCCAATCAGTATTGCTTTACACACCTGTTAACACCTTTCAGGTGGAAGTATTTCACATCAATTCATGTCCTCATCCTACCTTTAAGCTGATAACTCCCCCCCCCGGTCTGTCTGCCTCTCTCTCTCTCTCTCTCTCTCCTTTTTCAGATTTTCTCCTTTTACAAATAATCAAATGTCAGTTTTTATTTTTAATAAAATTAAATCAAGTATGAGGCTAGCTAATGCGCTTTTCAACTCTTAATAATAAAGAGATAATAGCAATGGTTAGCAATGTCAGTCTGGTTAACCATTACTACCGAGCAGTGAATTTAATCCTCACTGGGTGCCCCATACACAATTTGACATTAAATAACCCACCAAAAGTTGACCTATAGCAGTGATTCGTAACTGCCATACCACAGTGTATTAGCGTGCCACGCGATCCTCTTATGTTTGCCACAAAATATTGAAGAAATGATGAAAAAAAACACTCAGCACAGGTTTCTTGTTAAATAAACTGCACAAATAATTGAATAGAAACACTAAAATAAAGTGAGATCATATTTGTGGGTGTATTTTTTATTATTTTTTTTTTTAATCTATGGTTTTATTTCATAACATTTAAATGTATACCCTTTAAAAATTTTGCTAAGTTTGCTATTTTCATTTGTTCCTTGGTGTGCTGTTGCTTAAAAAGGTTGAGAAACATTGACATAGAATCAACCAAACTAATGAAACTGTAATTCTTTAGTAATTTAATGTGCAGCTAATAAAAATGCTTTCACTGATCTCATTTTCAAATGACAATTAAAAATTAAAAGTGATAATTATTTATCTGGTATAAACTTTGACCTCACTGAATTAAAATGTAAGTTTTAATATTTATAGTATCAAAATATTTAGGAATTTAAATCCTTTATTTAATCCTGAATTTGAGTGAGGCATTTTTCTTCAGGGCTGTAGGAAGAATATTGAAAGACGAAGGAGACTAAAGAAATTTCAGGTCAGCAGGGGTAAAAGAGGAATGGTTACATCTTAGAGTTCTCAAACATCTGAAGTTTATCGCATCCAATTCTTGTATTAATAAAGTTTGGTTATCCTTGATATATATTTCTTCTAAATGCTGTTTCTCTGTAACATACATCACACTAAAGCAAATGCATGCACACACACACACACTGAACAAGTGACTCTTGCTCTGAACAACCAATCCATACGTATGTAATCCCATCATTTTTATGAGTACTAAGTTAATGTGTGCTAAGCATAGCAATTAATTGGCATGGAAAGTGGAATTGGCATGCTGCATTCAAGTTCTGGCCAAGTTCATTATGTTCCTTTTGCACAAATGCTTTTGTGAAAGGTAAGAATCCATCTCTTCTACCCCAAGCTATAGTAGGGTACACTATGACCTCTAGCCTTGGCTGGCAACCAATTCAAAGCAAGATAGGTATGGGGGTGACACCTCTCCCCCAATAAAACCTTACTTGCTATGGAAACCACAGCAGCAACACCTGGGAGGGTGAGGCTAAGGTCTGAGGGGAGTCTAGTGACAATAAGGAGGAGGAGGCTAATACAAAGAGGTGCTGAAACATTCTTGGCTTGTCCCACTTCCCAAAATCTGACTGGTTCTTCTATGATCACCAAAGTTAAGCAATGTCGAGCCTGGTCAATATCTAGCTGGTTGACAACTTGGCAATACCAGGTACTGTATGCTTGGATGTGTGGCTGGTGTAATGGTTAATGGCTCGGAATTATTAATTGGAAAGCCAAGTTCCAATTCCACTGAAGTTCATCATATTCACTTACATGCCCTTGGGAATGGTATGAATCCACCTCTTCTCCCCCAGCTATGGGTTAATTATTAGAACTTGCATAAGTAAATTCATTATTATCTCTAAAACAATTCTTACACTCTAAAAATATTTTTTGACTTTAAATAACTTGTAAATGGTTCATAAGCCATAAAAAACAAATTAATCAATCAAAAGAATCTAGCCAGAAGGGGTTGCCTTTTGGTGATGGGGAATTAATCCTCTGCAAATGACACAATTGGTGCATCCTAGCCTTCTGCAACAGTATAAATGTAGACATCATATCCATCAATGACAAAAAGAAGTTGCAACTCTTGTTATCACCATCATTACTGCTACAGTGTTTATTGGGGTCTTGCACTATATTCTCAATCAATTTATGTCAGGGACTTTTAAAATAAATTGTGAATTTCTTCTTTCGCTTTTTTCTTGTGTTTCTGTAGATTACATTCTTTTCCTTTCCAAACCACAGGGAAACTTTTTCCAGATTCCAATCAAGACATCACAATTCCCATAAATATTTGTGTCTCCATCTTTGATCTGAGATTTTGTCTTTTTCTATTTATGCAGATATCCTTGCTAACAAGAGGGATGATACAAAAGGTATGTTTTTTTGTTTTGTTTTTTCTTTAAGCATTTCACCCCAAGCAAGGCAAGAGTGCCACTAGCACGCAAGTGGTTACAAAGAGTGAGAGTGAGAATAAAGAGGGGTTTTTTGAGGAAAGGATATAGAGAAGGACAGGGATCAGGATCAAGGCATCAGATGTCGATTGACATTACATTTGAATATTTGAAGATTATAGCTATCAGGGAAGCAAGTAGAAGGAAGGGAGTTCCACCGGCAGGAAGTGCAAATGAAGAAGCTGTTGGAGTAGAAGAGGCGGTTACATTTAACTGTATGAAAGGGTGGGACCGAGATACCAACCTAGTAGCATGCTTAAATTCATGGAGGTGTGGTACCAGTGAACCTGGCTCGTCAGAGCAGTTGCCATGAAAATATTTGTAGAAAAGACAGAGGAAAGCCACATCATGTCTGTGAAAATATGACTGTAGATGAGATGCCAGATCAGGACCTATCACATTGCATATCAGTCTCTGGATTTTGTTGAGGACCTTGAAATGCTCAGCGGGAACACCAGACCATATATGGCAACAGTATTCAATGCAAGGACGAATGGTAGATTTGAAGGATGGACTCAGGTGAGAAAAACCTTCTGGCGTGACATAGAGAACCAACTTTCCTTGCAGTAGATGTAGCGATTGATTCAATGTAGTTCCAGTTCAGTTGAGTGGAAAACGTGAGGCCAAGAAAATGCAGAGACACACTCTCATGAAGTTGAGCATCAGCCGATGGGAGGCAAGGGGGGATTCTCTATGGTGGGTAAATGAGAGCAGTTTTGTTTTGGAGGCATTCAAGTTTGTCCTTTCATGTCTATTTTTTCATTTCTTCTTTCTGAAAGAAACAGAAACAAATAAATCTTTCAGTAATAATGAAATCTCCATTTGTTTCACACACAGTTGTATCATTAAGCAAACAAAGTTTATAATCAGAAAATAATTAAGAAATGTAACTTACTGTTAATGCAGTATCTCTCAACCTTTGTAAGCAATGGCACACCAAGAGGCAAATGAAAATATCATGGCACATATCACAAAATTTTTATTTTTTATTGCCGTCTACTAAGGGTAGCCACCCAAAATGGACGAACGTATTTTATGTAAACAATACACTGATTGTCCTCCCTCGAATATATCCGTGCTCTATTTCAAATTATGGGTGTGCAAGAGTGCAATAAAATATTGCTATGAAAAAAAATAACATTTTCAATACAATTAATGTCATTTTCATTTTATACAAATTTCAGAGTAATATACTTTTAAAAAATTGGAAAATTATTAAATCAAATGCTCAGTGCTACATATTGGAAACTTCAACAGTATTAATTCATCATTCAGTATAACTTTGTAAAAATTTTAAATTAAACAAAGAATGTTGAATATAATATGAAAGAAAGGTTAATATTTATTTATTCAAATAAAAGAAAATTTTAAAAAGTTAAATTAAAAAAAAATGAATATTAAAACAAAGTATTTAAAATAGTATAATCAAAGAATAGTGAAAAGAATTATTTAAAAAAATTTTAATACTTATTCATTTATTCAAATACTAACGCTGTGCTATTACTACTTACACACACACATGTATGCTGTGACAATATTTCATGGCACACTTGAGAGGATCATGCGACACGGTGGCTAAGAATCAGTGTTAATGCATGATTAACTGTTTTTATTTATAGGAAACCAAAAATCTTAAGTCTGGTTTCTTCAGTATCAACACAGATTCTCAGTCTTATAAATTTTTCTCACTTTTCATCGTTTAAGCTTCAAGAAACCATTTTTTAATCTGCCATCTTTAAAATTAATACAGCCATTCATAAAAGGTCAGTTTCAAGAACAAGTATCAGATGTAGTCTTATACCAAGTTTGGCTTCATCCAACATGTACAGTATAGAGTAGAACATGTATTGATTATATTCTGTTTATAAAATAAATTTATGACTTTCATAGGAATCCTGAAAGGATTTATGCATTTGTTTCCAGAAAGTCACTCTTCCCATGTTCATGAAATCTGAAAACCTATGAATGTTGTTTAGAGAGAAGACTGCTATTTAATAATGATGTGTTCTATACAGGAACTAACTTGGTGGAATCCTTCTTCCTACCTAGGGTATCTGTTATTTTCTCTAGGATGATTCTGATCAAGGATCTTACTAAAAAATGATTCCTTGCCAGTTGCTCCATTGGGAAAGATCACTTAGTGCCTTTGCTTCCTATTGGCTGAGAATTGTTCTTTCTCTGATATATTCTAAGTAATTCATTTCTTTGTCTTAGAAATCATGAAAATATTTTGACCCTTTTATCATATGCTATGATAAATTCATAACTGTCTTGTGACTATTATTCAGATATGTTACAACATTAATTTATTCTGCTCTCCATTTGACAGCATTGTTTAAAGTCTTTTAAAAGAATCCTTTGTTATATAAAATATGATGATTGACTTCAGTTTTTTTTTTTATCTCTGCTTTCTCTCCACAGAAATGGCATCATCTAATCCTGATCTGTCAGGAAATTCCCAAAAACGTTGGGTCCCCGACGGAGAGAAAGGCATATTTGTCTCAACAGCTGGCACCAAGGTGCCCTCAACCAAAGGTATTACATTCTTACAAGTTTTTAACCTGATTGTACACCCACATACTGATAAGCCAAAATATTATAACTACCTGCCTTGAAAAACAGTCAAAGATTTAGAAACAGTTTAAAAAAATTCATATGCCTAAAGTAAATATGATTTCAAAATTGAAAATATTATTATGGATTACTTGCATGAGTTTCACTATAAGTAGTTATAAATAATTATTGACCAATTTTATTTATTTATTTTTTTGCATTATATCAAGTATTAAGAATAGAGTAACTAGGGTCTGCAAACTGGAGAAGAGAGTTATCGATTATAATGTTCTGACTTTGAATCCATGGTTATCTTCCTTTAGCCCTCTCTCTGGGCCTTCTTTCCCTTTGGTGAGGCGCAAGCAAAATTTCATTCCAAAAATGCAGTCCAGAGAAAAAAAGTTTAGGAACCACTGTGTTAGGCCAATTCTGCCATGTTCTTTTTGGTCCAATGCAACGTAGAAGTAGTCAGTGGGATTGAGATTTGAAGAGTTTGCCGACCAGAGCAACATCGAATTTTCATGTTCCTAAAATCAATCCCATATAACTCCTGTGGTGTGGGGAAGGTGAATTTTCCTACTTAAAAATGCTATTGCCACTGTATAGGGACTGCTGCTGCTGCTGCCGCCATCATGTAGGAATGTAATTGGTTTAATGGCAGGTAATATACAACACAGTACGTTGCACATGAATTGATTGGACTTAGTGTTTCCCAACAGAATATTTGCCTGAATTGTCACTTGTCTCACTGGCTTGTTGGGGTTATTTCTTCCTGCAAACATCTAGAGTCCATCACCAGTGTTTTGAGTTGGAGCAAGAACCATGGAAGCCTGCAAGTAAAATATGCACACTAAAATTATTTCACATAAATTTGTGTGTGTGTGTGTGGGAGGGGGTAGATGGTTGTTACCCCTCCTCTCTCTCACACACACACACACACACATAACCCAGCAACAGGCCTGCAAACATAACATGTGAGTTTCTTCCATTGATAAGAAGGTCCAATTCCAACACACTTGCCAATTGAGAGCACTTTTGAGTATGGACATTGGTTAGCATGGGAACACTGATTAGCCTGCAGTTACACAACACCATACATGACAAGGACTGATGTACTGTGTGTTGTGATACACTTTGTCTTCACCTTTCTTAAAGCTATCTGAAATTTGTTGTATTGTAGCCATTCTGTTGTCTTGTACTTGGTAAGAAAACCTCCCATCCCCTTCTTGTATTGATAATTTTTGACTGTTGACTTCCTTGTCAAAATAACAAAAAGTAAAAAAATGAAATGAAATAAAAAAAATAAACAAAAATTAAAAAAGTTAAATAACCACATCAGTTTATATTCGAATAAAAATTCCAGAGTAAAATGAATTTAAAAAAACAATGGCCCTTTTTTTTTTTGGTTTGTAGTTGTTAAAACTTACTTTGATACAAAGCTTTACTCTCAACAAAAACCATCTTCCTTAAAGCAGTGTAATGTGTTGATAAAATGATTGATGTCATTTGAGATTTGATTATTTTGATGTAAAAAAAAGGGGGGGGAGTATAAAATCTCAAGGAAGGGGCCCCAGCTTCTAGCAACAGTTGGATATTGGGTTTAATTTTTGTATTTAAAATGCAAAAACATATATTTTCATCTAATCATTCATTCTTAGCATAGATTAAACTTTTTTTTTTTTTTTTTTTTTTTTTTACTGAATATATTATTTAAAAATAATTACACTGGTAATTTTGTTAATACCTAAACCAAACTGAATGTTTGAATACTGTTGATTTCCTTTGTGAAATTTTTTTTTTTCTCAATTCTCTGTTCCTTCAGGACATAGGAAATCATTACTCTTAACATCATCTATGAATTCATGGAAAAGAGAGTGGAGTGGTTTTCCTTCTTTTAGATTGGTTGTTACCTAAAGCTAGAGAGCCCAGTCTACCCTGCTATTTAACCCATAGCTGAGGAGAGAAAAAAACAGATTCATGCCTTTTCCAAGAGCATTTGTATGAAAATGAACGTTAACAGATTAGCCTGGAATTTGAACTTGGCTTGCTGATTCCATGTTCTTTACCTATCCACTACATTAACCATACATAATGTTGGATACTGAAGTTAAAACCATATTTTGGCACAAAGAGCTGATCACATGGCCATCACCTGATATTTTAGTTTCTCATGATGTTTTTTGTTTTTACTTATAGTACAGTGTGTGACAAATATTCATTCATGCATAAAAATGTTGAATTAAAAATAAAACCATCAATTTTTTAGCAGTTGCTTTGTTTACATTTTGAATAAGAAATTGATCAGATATGGGCTATCACAAAATAATCTGAACAGGGAAATGAGTTTTCATTCGAAGGGCAATAGGACCTTGCTGGGCTGTTCACTGCCCATGGCTGAGCAGTGTAAAGCAGACCAGATGAAACGTTATTTTATTTAAAAAAACAATTTCTTATAATGCTAAAATTATGTCTTTGTAACATCCGAATTCTTTCACTGTCTTTTTTTATTTCTTTTTCTAAAATCAATTTATCCCAAACAAGGTGATAATGCCACTAAGACACAAGGGGCTACTAGAAATGAAAGAGAATGAGAAAACTTTAGAAGGAACTGGAAATGCAACCCTAAATAGGAAAAAAAGGGGGTAAACCTCTATTTGTATTCAAAGAACTGGGGAGGAGTGTGACTGATTTTTTTATGCTATGTGGTGTCTGTAAATGAGTTTGTCTATTTCTTTTGAACAAATACTGTAATATTGTTTGTTTTTATCTTTGACAAGGGTCCACACTATCCAATCCTGTGATCACCAATCAAGAAGTGGACACACGTAGGTTTTGCATAAATTTGTTACTATTTTTTTCCTTCCTTGAGCTTACATATTTGCTTGCCTAAAATTATTGTTTGTAATTCCTTACATGAACAGTACCAAAGGTTTTAGTTCCTGGTGCTGGTCTGAATGACTACAAGTGTCAGTTTCCTGTGAGTTATTCTTCAGGCGCTCGACATTAGTCTTCTTTCATTGATCTGCGCATTTTATTCCCATCTCAGCTAACCCAAGGTGTTATAATAAGGGTAGTTGGTGAATACGTATGATATATATGCACCAACTAAAATAACTGAGTGGGATGGGGGGGGGATAATAAAAACAAAAAAATCTCATTTAACACAATGTAAGAAAAAATGGTAGAAAAATAGCATCACAGCAAATGAGCATAAATTGCAAAAGACAAAAGTGCTTGACAATGCCAGCCAAAGATCCCCATATCAGAGCATATATTTTTAAAACAAACAAAAAACCCCAAGCAGCTCTCTAAGGAGTACGCTTAAAAAGACACACCATAAGAAAAGAGCACAATGGTAGGAGAATATTTGGGATCTGCTTGTTTATTTTGTGTGCATTTAATAATTATATATATGAAGATAACATCAATCAGCTAAGTGACAAACCTTTACTCATATTAATCCTATATATATATATATATATATATATATATATATATATATATATATATATAAGTAAATTTAATAAATCTGTTGGTATCCAAGTAGATCCTAGTAATATAATATGTATATATATATAAAATCTCATTATTATTGTTGGACGTCTAATAGGGGTGGGGTGGTGTGTTGAAAAGTTCTTGGCCTAACCCACTTTCCAAAATCTGATCAACTATCAGATTTGGAAAGATCTCAGAAACTATAAAAACTTGGATTATGTAATTCTGCGGAAGGGCATTTCCTTGGCTATGCGACTCTTGTGTGCCAAAAATCAATACTGTATCTGTAGTAACTTCCGAGTTATTATAAGATTTTAAAGAAACACAATTGGCTGGCCAAAAATATAAACGTAAGAATTTTTATTCATTTGCATATTACATCTATGTGTGGCTTGTAAAAGAAAATTCTCTGCGCCTTGAACAGACATACAACCTGTAGATGGTAACAGGACAGTGTTTTGCCTCATTTGAGGTAAAGAAAATTTTCAATATGAATGTAGTATGAATTTTCTTCATATATATATATATATATATATATATATACACACACACACACCTATATATTATTCTTTCGCCTGCACTTTTCAAAAAACTGTATTATCCACTTGATATAGTGTGACTTTAAATAAGACTTGTTATTTTCATGACATTGTGTAAGTTCAGTGCATATATTACCTTTATACTTTTGCTGCGGAATCATATTTTTCTTTGCAGCATTTAAATTGTGTGAAAAGTTCTTTTTCACTGAATGCCATATTTACATCTTGTCTTTTCATATCTTTCACATTCATTTGAGAGTTTGCATGATTTTAGCAAATGTTTTATTGATAAATGATATGTAATCTTTTTTACATTACCCTGTTAAGTGATTCTTTTGTCAACATGTTATTACCAAAATTTAATCTAGTTTTGCCAACATAAGTTTCAAACCTCAGTAGTTTCTTCTTTGCCGACACACTTTCTCACATATGGCCATTTTGGTCTTTTCTTAGAAACTTTCATTTTTTAATAAAAACCATAAGGAGATGAGCACAACTGTTCAGAATCATTCAAAGATGATATTTTGATCAATCCAAGTCTCCTCTTACGTTTCATAGCCATTATTTCCACTTTGTCTGCACAATTTTTTTCATTTGTCACTTTGTCTTTTTTTTCTTTATTTCCATTGAGCACCATTATCCTATCTTTTATTCAGTGTTAATCATTTTTTATCTTGTCTTATATTTGCATATCATTTTACACTTTGTCATTCATTTTCCTAATATACAGGGTGCGATGGATAAATTGTCATCTAAATTGCGCAAAACTAAAAATAACACTGACATCTCATTTTATTAGATATTAATTAAAATTACAAAAAAATATCTTGAAATACTAAAGAGTAAATTTATTCAATAAAATTGCTATTGGCTTCAACCACGGCCTTCAGACAACTTCAGAATATCCTGCAACTCTTGTGAGCAGTCTTCCTGTTTAAGTTGGTGAATGCTGCCATAAGCCTTGCCTTCAGTTCATCTTTGACACTGCAAGAAGTTTTGTTGGTCTCTTGCTCAATTGCACCCCATACATAATAATCAAAGAGGGTTGCAGTCTGGGGAGTTAGCTGGCCAGATGTAAGTGGTGATGTAGTTGCAGAAATTATATGAAAGCCATGACTGGGTTCTTCTGCTTGTGTGGCATGGTGCAGAGTCCTGTTGCCAGACCTATGGTCTTTCAGCAGCTATGCTGTTGACCTGGGGCAGCACTACCGCCTCAAGGCACTTGATGTAGACCTTCATTTTGAGTCTGAGGCCCTATGGGAAAATGAATAGAGGCATAGCATCACCATCAATAGTGATCACTCCAAACACTCCTTTATAATCACCATTAGACTCATCCAACTCTTTCTGAATCCTCTATACTGTCCTCACATTGACACTCAAACACTTTGAAACATTTGTATTGAAGATTTCAGCGTGAATGCCAAACAGTGCAGCATGTCATTTCCAAATTTATGGCAGAGAGAATTGCATCATGGCGCTCTTTTTCTCACAGATGGTACCCAACTGACCCTACTAGAATGTGCAGTTGACAAAATCAAAAATAAACAATGTGCATGTGCAAAATTAATAATGTAAAATGGCAACAATTTACCCAACACACCCTGCACACACACACATTTTTTTTGTATATATATATATATATATATACTGGAGATGATATATGAATTTTTATGTATCAAAGAAAATGTTAGGAAAATTAAAGACAAAGTGGAAAAAAAATTTTGTATGATGTGTTTTCTCCAATGAAGTCTGACGAGATGAAATGTGCCACAAAAATTTATTATTATTTTACTTTTTCAGAAGACAACTGTTTACTGACAGTTGCACTGTTGAAATATTGTTGAAATTTTAAAAAATAATCTGACTTTTATTAATTAAAAACAAAGAAGAAGAAGCAGCATTGATTTGATGCATTCAAGTGCTTAACAGAACTTTTGTATAACTCACCTCAACTTGGTCCTTGGGATTTCATTGGCTTGATACAATTAAGGGGGACAACTCGTTTGTTTTGTGTCAGTATTCGTCTCCCTTGAATCACTTAAAACTATATACTTTATGTTTATCATAGCATTATTTGCCATATTTTGACCTTAAAACAATCAGAAATAAACGCTAAGAATCAAACTTAATCTGAAAGAGATAATTTTTTTTCATTATTTCTCGTTGTTCTTAATACCTTTTCTGTATTGGAACGTCTTGTTTCCATCCCTGCATTATTGAAGCTTATGAAACAAACATGTTGACCTTTGCTTCAAATTCTTTCGTTGATTTTTGCCTTTTATGGATTCATCATCGATGTTTTGGGGCATCATGACGTGGTGTAATGGTTTGCAAGCTTGTCTCACGAGAACAATTACAACTGAGTAGTGTGTTCAATCCTCACTGGCTGCTCCATACCTTTAGCTTTGTATCACATCTAAGCTACACTTAGAAAATCACCATATTCTGCTTACTTTATGAAATAACAATTTCATTTTCTACTCAATCACAGCTTTAAATGACCTGTGTTTCCTGTGAATTTTTGCTGTCATCTCTAGAAAAAATATAAATAAAATGGGTCCCAGGACTCCATTTTTTGCTGTAATATTGAAACACAAAAACTTCAGCATAGTAGTATCAACAGTAGTAGAATTCTAAATTTTTAGGAACTCTTTCATAGCTGTAAATTATTTTGTCTGTGAAATTAATGAGAAAAATTGGTAATTAACCATACTTCAAATATTTTTGTATTTTCTTCTTTTTACTATGAACATTATTTTCATGGGTACATGTATTTCAGTCGACATTTTTGTTTATTTACAAATGGTGAAATTAATGTCTACTGGTCACGATCAGTGAAATTCTTATTGAACAAATCAGCAAAGATCAAATCTGCATGATTTTTTTTGTGGGGGGATCATTTTTTAGCTAGGTATGCCATATCAAGGCAAAGTTCATTTAACTAGGCATACCTTACCATGTTAAAACAAAGCTCAATTAGCTAGGCATGCCTTATTAGGGCAAGGGTAAGGCTCAGTTACCTTATTGAGAAATGTACATTGGTATCTTTTGGTGACTGTATCTTCTAGATTATATATTTTTAAAGAGAAAACTAAGCAAAGTAATTTAATTAATGGATTTTTTTTTTCATCCAACATTATTTTTTATTACTATAAAAGTTAATTTAATTGTTTGATTTGACATCCTTGTTTATTTACAAACAAGGAACTTGTCTACTGGCCTACTTCATTGAAAGTCTTATTAAATGTAAAAACATGTTTACTCACTAAAATAATGCTTATAGTAATAAGAAATATTGCTTATATTTTGTCATACAAAAATAATATTAAACAATATTAAATAATTATTTACCTTCAGACTAATGTCCTCATCTTTGTTGTAAAAAATTGGGACATTCTTCCACATATAGATGGACTGAAAGCTAATTCCACCAGGTTTATCAATTGAGACATTGGTCGGTGCCAGGAGAATGCAAAGGGTTATTGAAAGAGTTGGGCATGTCCTTGTGAGGGAAAGACTTTCTTGCAACTGTTGGGAAAAACATTAGCTACAGTGTGAATGCTCCAAGCAAACAAGTACACTCTTTAGCAGCAGAACATTACAACAAAGATAAGGAGATTAGTTCAAATGTAAATAATAATAATTCCCAGAAATTCTGGCAGAAAATATGAAAAACAAGTAAAATTATTGGAACTCATAATAGATATGAAAAAAAACTTTTAATCTTACAACCAAAAACTGGTCTTAGAAACTTGTAATTTTAGTAAGCACTTTGTATGAACTGGTTGGATTGTGCTACTGAGTAAAGATGATGTCAAAGTATTATTAGTATTTATTCAGAAATATAAAATAACAAAGACAAATTCTAAATTTGATTTTTCTTAAGAATGTATTTGTCTAATTAACTTTTTCATTTCTGTCTGCATGTCCACAACCCTTTGAAACAGATCAGTTTACAAGAACAGAATTTTTTTAAAGTTTTTTTTTAATTTTTATTAAAAATTTTTAAAAGTTTTTTTAATTTTTTAAAGTTGTTTTTAGTTCTTTTTTAGTTTTTTTAAAAAAAAAGTTGTAGTTTTTTAAATATTTTTTTATGTTTATTTCTCTTTAAGTTTTTTTAAGTTTGTTTTTTTATCACATGATTTAATAAATTTTCTAAAAAAATGAATATATCTGTTAAAGGAAAATTTTACAACATAAAACACCGAATTTAATGCTTCAGACATGATTTACTTCATCCTAACTGGGATTATATTGCTCTTATTTTTTGTATATTTTAAATCTTCTAAAAATAGTAAAAAATTTTCACCTTTCTTTTTTTCATTCCCATATTTCTCAGGTTCTGACCGCGTCCTTCGTCCGATGATCTTGACCAAGCAGCTGGACCTTCCTTGTTATGAATACCCACCATATGTGTCCACCTCGACACCCCGCACCAATTTAGCTAAGGAGCTTGAGAAGTACAACCGGCCACCTACAGAATTTCAGACATATCAGTCCAAACTTTATCCAGGGAAACCCATTGCTCCCAAGCCTAAGGACTCTGGCATTGAACGGCCAAACATACTGAGTAAAAGACCCAACTACAAGCCCCAGTACCGCTATGACCCCCAGGTACCAGTTGCCCTGAACCTATCCACCAAGACCCCCACAAACACTGCAAACTGTATAACCAATGGCTCTGGGCTAGATCTCACAATGAAAACTCTACCTGGGGTCACTGTGGCTTCAGTGAATGTAACTGCTGGTGGGACTACAAGCACAACGGTGGCTAGTATCACTACAACAACGTCACTGCCCGGTAGCACAGTGCCACTGAGTAGCCACAATGCTACCAGTCCCGGAGGTTGTGCTGCCACTGTTGTTCCATCTGCCACTGGCCCTGCAGCTGCCGGTAGTGGAACTGCTGCTGCTGTTGCTGCCTCAAATCCAAGCATTCTGGAGACATCTGGTCTCAGCATGCTACAACAACAACAACAACAACAACAACAGCAGAGCCAACAGCAACAACAGCAGCAACAACAACAACAACAGCAACAGCAGCAGCAACAGCAGCAACATCATCATCCTGTATCCCAACCACTGACTGTGACTTTACCCTCACAGCAGCCTCTCCATCAGCAATCATCAGAGCTTTTGGGGACCTCCTCACCGTCTGCTCTCTCGGTAGCCAACTCCATGCCTGCCTCACTCTCATCACCACCTCTCAATTCTGTATCATCACCATCATTAAACGGAGAATACAGCAGTATGACTGTGTCTCCTGTCAATGTTCCCACCTTGGAAAAAAATATTGGTCTCAATGGGTAAGTCAGAAATCCCCCCCTCCCCACCTAAAAAAAAAAAATCTATATTAAAAAAAAATCTTTGCAGTGGGTTTGAAAACTTATGATTCCTGCAACAAGAAAAACTGATTTTTGGGAATCAGTAAAATTTTGGGTTCTTTCCATAGACTGTATTTCTCACCAGATAATACGCACTGACATATAATTAAGTACCCCCACTATTTCAGCATAAATTTTCGATACCTAAGGTTTAAAATGAATTTTTAAAAATGAAAAAGCATTCTCGAAGATTTCATTTTAGTTTAAATTGAAAGCTAAAGGAGTAAATTTATTATTTCCAGTAAGTAAAATATTCTGGTGCATTTCAGATAGAAATTATATAGATTGAATATCAAATTTAATTTCAATTTCTTAAAATTTTCTTGAAAGCGGTCATTTCTTAATTTAAAAAATTTCTAAACAAACAAATTAATTGGTTTTAAAACACTTCCAAAATATATATATATATATATATATATATATATATATATATATATATATATATATATTTCTGAGACATTTTTTGAGTAAAATTAGAAAATTTAAAGTTAAATTAATCTGATTTGAAATAAATATTGCTTACTTATAGCTGAAAAAATTAATATACGACTATTTGTTATTGATCAGCTGTGTTTATCCAAAGCATTGACAGCTAGTATGGCTGGCTAGAATTGATATAAAATTTATGAAATCTAAGTGAACACATTTTTGGGGATTTTTTAACTATCTAGTAATTTTTACAAATGAACATATCTTCCGCAATTATCTAATAATTTATTGACTTTTCAAAGATGCTTTATGCAAAAATAAAAAATTTAAAAGACTATAAAATTTTCTTAAATTAATTTCTCTGTAAGAGAGACAAAACTCTTAGATCACATGGCTTTTCATAATAATGTCACATTTAGCCTTTCATAGATGAAAATAAGGAACAAATTAAGTAAAAAAATAAAAAATTATTTTAAAAATAGAATAATGTAACTACATTTATTAATCTTTTCAATTTTGGATTCGTAAATTTCGTTTCCACTTAATTACACATCCAGGAAATAGCACAATACAGAATTTACACAATTTTAAAGTACTATAAATTATACTAATTAAAATTTTTAAAAAATGGAAAAAATTCTTGTAAAAATTCATTATTCATTGGAAAAATTTTATTTCTTCAGACAATAATGTCCTTAATTTAACTTATTTACAAAAAAAATTAAATCTTTTCTAATTAAATAATGTCATAGTTTTTATTGCATTCATTATTTTTCAATTCAGAGCAGATTTTCAGTTAAAATAGTGCAAGTTTGAAAAAAAAAATTTAGGTGATTTAGATTCTCCAAGGAGATCTACTTTTAACGAATAAAAAAAATTTCAGGAAATAGAAAGGTATTTTTCATTATGAAAATAAGTAAGTGGAGCAGATATGTAAAAAAAAAAAAAAAAATTTTTTTACCAAAATTTCAAAACTAATTTCATTCATTTGTGAATAAGTCCTGAAAATTTCATTAAAATCGGACAATTATTTGATTTTTACAAGAATTTTCAAAGCAATGTGTTTTCAATGGAAAAAATGCACAAAAAAGTCAATGTCATTATTATGCCACTTCGATGATGTAAAAAAAACAAGATTTTAACCAAAATTTCGAACATGTTAGAAAAGATTAAAAAATTTCCAAAAATAATCAAAAAATACTTTAGTCTTTCATCTTAATAATAACATAAACAATTTTATGAGAAAACTTTATTTTTATTAAGATTGTGGCCTTTTTCGTTATGCTATGCTGTTTTCTGTGAAAAAGTGGAGGTACCTACATATAACACATTCAATCCATAAATTGGCAAGGAATATTTTTGAAAAAACTGTTACTATGACACTTGTGCATAATTTTTAAAAAATATTTTAACATTAAATTATGATTGCAAAAAAAATAATCATTTCTAGTCATATATATTTAATTCTGGGATCATCAGAGTTGTAATCATAGGCATAAAAACAGTGGGTAGCAGCAGTGGTAGAAGCTCACCCAATGGGTAAATGAATTGCATATTTTGGGGCCAAAAGCTAGTTATTTTTAGAGCAGTTTAGAAAAGTTGGGGGTCAAATTTTTCCTGCTCACCCCTTCACCTCTAAAATTACTTCCCATACTTCCTATGTTTTTAATCATAATCATGTATATATATATATATATTTCATTCTGGGGTCATCAGGGAATATATGAGATGTTGGTCAATTATGCTATTATGACTTTTTATTAAAACAATTCAAAAAAATTTAATTTAAATAAAAAATTCCTTTCATAATTTAAATATAAAATTAAAATTTCAGTTTTTCAAAACTATTAGTATTATAAATGATATGCTATGGACTGCAGGCAAATAATTATGTGATCATTTAATAAAATATATTAATAGAATTTTTTTTATTAAAAAATTAAAACAATAAAAAAAATGTACATTTTTTGAAGAAACATCATACTACAGTTTAATACCGAGAAGATCTACCTAAAAACTCACCCTAACTTGTTAATCAGGGTGTGGGATACAAATGACCCTTATATGGTGCGAAATACAATGATTTGTAAGCACTGTGTGTTTGGTGTTTATTCTTTTCAATTAAAAAACATAAAGCAATTAATGTTTTAACTAACATGTCTCCAACCTGCAATTATTCATCAAACACAGATTGAAATGTTTGCCAGATAAAATCTTAATTGCATTGTGTAAAAAGATTTTTTTTTTTTTTTAAATGCAAACTTATTCATTTCTTGCATCATATCTCTAAGAAATGGCAGTTTATTTTGTGTGGAATTTTAAAAAAAAAATGAAATAAAAGATAATAAATTTTAATCCTTACACAAACTGTATTTATATTCCAGGTGCATCCTTAGCTAAAAATATGCAATATTTCCACTGACATTTTCTTTTAGAAATGAATTATCCTTACTATTCATTATTTTCTAAGTTTGATTATAAATATTATTATTATTATTATTATGCATTGCTGTATGTGTAAGATGTGCCAGGTAACTGAGAACAAATTATTTAAAAAAAAAAAAATTCAAAGAAATTGAATAGAAAAACATTTGTATATTTTCCAATAATTTTTGTACACCTGTTCACCTTAGAAAAATAGAAAAGGTTATTCAATAAAATGAACTTTATACATGGATTAGGTAGTTCAAGTTTATCTTCACATCCACAATGGTATTTACACTATTTACATTTTTGGACTGCTGTCCTCATCTTTATTACTAAATTCATGTGAACAATATAAATACTTACAATGCCTCATCTCAGAAATATAGACAGATCCACAATGGTAATGGTAATACTAGTCATTTCCTTATAAGGAAAAAAAAAGGTTTCTTAACCTTAAGTCATCTGTATATGACCTGTGGTTAAGATAAGTTCTCAAGTACCTGGTACAACCTGTGTGTGGGTGTGCAGATGGTAGAATGGTTAAGGGTATAGAAAGGGAAATTGTTCAGTTGAGTTCAAATCCTAGCTGATTCTGTTTTGTTCAGTTCACACTGATGCTTTTGTAAAAGGTATGAATCTATCTTTCACAAACTTTGGGTTAAATAGTAGGGCTAACTGATCAGTCTTACCTTGGGTGGCACCCAGTCTAGGAGAAGGAAAATTCTGAAGAGGGCTATTTGGAGATTTTGTGGTTCAGTTATCAGATCTGAAAAATGCAGCTGGTTTGAGACAAGCCTTCACCACTAATCATCTTTGTAGGTAGTCTAGTGGTTCCACCCTAACCCTGAACTATTAGACCCTTGTATGTTAAAATCAATAAGAGAGTTCAGTCATGATTGAATACTTGACCACTGTGCATTTCTATAATCATTTATAATGCAAACCTACTGCAATAATGTTTGCTTTCATTTATGACCATTAACAATACCTTCATTTTTTTTTCAATACATAGTATTCAGATTGAATGTGAAAACAAAGTTTTCAAGTCAAAAATTGCATAATTTTTGGTTTAATATTGAAATTTCTTTCTCTTGTCACCAGAAACATTTAAACTTTAATACAGAAAATTATAAAAATCAAAAACTGGAGAATAATAGTGTAGTGCTAACTCCACTAGGCAGCTCTAAGGAAAGCTAAAATGTCAAATTAAGGTTTGATCATTTGATTAGATTTTGGGAAATGGGATAGGCTGAGAACTTTTCCTTGTGTGTGTGAATATATAAAAGAAACAGCTAACCCCTTAGCTTTTCATGATAATGGTTTTCAAAATAAATGTTTACCATAAATCAACAAATAAAAAGGACTCCATAAATGCTTACTTTTACTGCAGCAGTAAAATAAAATCTAGAATAATTATAAGTTTTTTAAAAATTTATTTAAGTGGATTTTTCATTGCACCACATTGCTACTGAATGTGACAAGGTCAAGATTTAGAGTGGGTTTTAACAGCAATACTGAGGAAACATTGCTCAAGCCTCATTTGCATTACTCCTTTTTCTAAATGCCTCAGGCACTGGGTAATGACCCTAGCCCACTCTTGAAGGAGAGGTATTGCCTGGGGAAAACCCCACTGGGACTTGAGCTTAATATTATTTTGAAAATTTCCTAGGAAAAGTAACAAGTATTTATTTAAAACCTGCAGAATTTTCAGACCCAAATATCTACTTGAAGAAGATACCTAGAAAATACTTTTAAAATTCTATAATATCCTTGTTATTTCATATACAATGCCAAAAGAAAAGCATACAAAATTCACAAAAGCAGAAAATAAAAATAAAGTATAAACAACAACACAAAATCCAGGTATGTGAAATTACATTCAAACTCCATAAGTTGTTCTACTAAAGAGCCTAGTTTGTCCTTCTATTTGAGCCATAACTGGGTAGTGGTGGGAGAAATGGGTTCTTGCCTTTCCCAAGGGTATTAGTGCAAAGTGAGCATAACAACCTCAGCCAGAAATATGATTCCATTTTCAGCACCAATAACCATTATAACACATCCATATCTATCTATCTCTCATATATATATATCTATATATATATATATATATATATATATATATTTATATAATTATGATAAAAACAGTTTTATCATATGCTATATTTATGGGTTAAAGTGCTCAATATCAGGGATAGAGCCTGTGTAAATATAATAGTCCAATTTTATATATATATATATATAAACATGTCTCCTTTAGGCAAGTTTTGTCTACTTATTTTTAATAGGATCCTCTTATATTTATGGACAAGTTTTTTTCTTAGTATCCTTATTAAAGGAAGAAAGAAAATTACCAAGGTGATGTTTATCGACTTTATTCCTGAGTATTTTCAACATAAGCACAATGTCATCTTCAGGGTCTTATTTTTGCTAAGACAAAATTGCTGTGTTCATCTGAAAATTAAATTTTTTAGTTGTGAAGTGAAAAATGCTAAACTTATGTACAATCTTTAAATTTATGATTTAAACATACATGTGCAGTAACATCAAGGCAGGTAACTGTGTTATTGAGATGTCTAACTATTTTTTAAAAATTATTTAAAGCTTATAACCTAGATATTTTAAACTATCTACTGCAAACATTTGTGCAGTATTCATAATTAATTTTATTAAGGGTTGGTTTCAATTTTTTAATATAGATAGCTTCAAGTAATTTTAGTTTATGCTTATTATTTTCATGAAAAGTATAGGTGTATTTTCAACAAAATTTATTTTAATTGCACATGTGGACAGGCATACTGTTGTAAATGTTGAGAGATGTTAGATGCATCATTTAAATGAAAACTCAACCTAGAGTACGTAGTTGTGAAGTGACCAACATAAATATTATTTTTTCTGTTGGAGATACAAATTTATATATAATGTTGGTTTTCTGCAACATGTTAATTGGTGGGGAGAAGTCATTACGAATGATTAAATTGGATATATTGAATTTAGTATAATATATAATTAATTTTATTTTTTTACTAGGATCTATAATGGATATATTAATATTAGTTTTTTTTAGGATATTTTCATCCTGTTTATAATTAGGATGTATTTGATTGTGATATAAAAGATTAATATTTTTAGGGTTAATTTAAGAAGTATTATATTCTATTTGCTTTATATTAAAATTTCCAAGACAGCATCTTATTTGTTCTTTGACAATGTAATTAGGGAAGTTATTATTAATAAGAGTTTGTTTTATATTTTTAGTTCACTGTAGAAAATCTGATAATCAGTACAGTAGATGGTTTTAAAATATTTAGGTAAATAGTTTAAATAGTTTTTTAAAAAATAGACATCCCAATAACTTAGTTACCTCCCTTGACATTACTGCATGTGTATGCTTATATCGTAAAAATTAAAATTTGTACAGTACATAAGTTTAGCATTTAATTTTCAGATGAACACAACCAAATATTAAATATAACAAGACATTGTGCTAATGTCAAAAGTACTCGGAATAAAATGAATATGCATCAACATGGTAATCTTCTTTCTTCTACATTGAGCATTGTTTTGTTTACACCTTAAATTTAGTATACTGATGCATATATATACGTTTATTAATAACTAGTTATTTGATTTATCCACATCAATACCTATGTGTGTATATATATATATATATATATATATATATAATAACACAATCATATTAAAATGGTAATCCAAAAATATAATGCATGTTTGAAGACTATGCATAATATGAGGTTACATTATCTGCAAAGAAAGAAAAGAGATAAAATAGTTAATTTATCTGCCTGATGATTGTGTTACAGCATGAAATTCTGAGTAGCAGATTTTGATTACCATTTTAATATGACTGATTTAATATTATTAAAATACACTATATGTAACCTCAGTTTATTTTATAGTTTAAGCATTTAACCTATATTAAGATTTAACTTATTTTTTATTATTTGTATGCCAATAAGCATTTTTAAATTAAAAAATTTTGAACTATTGATATTTTTACTTCTGTTTATATAAATACATGTTGCAAAATAAAATCCTTACATTTACTTTGCTAAAGTCCATTAGGAGATGAAATGCCTTGGTAAAGAAAAGTAGAATCTTTTCATTAAGACATGTTTTGTTTACTTATTTTCAATAAGATCATTTCATACTTGTGGATAAGCTTTTTGGTGTCATTATTGAAGGACGAGAGAAAATTGCTATGTTAATACATATTTCTTTTATTTCCAAGTACTTTTGACATATCCATGTCATTATCAGGGTATTGTGTATTACAAAATAAATATTGTTGTATTCATTATTGTCAAAGACAAATTGTTGTGTTATCTGGAAGTTAAATTTCCTACAAATAACACAACAATTTGTCTCCAAGAATAATGAATAATACAATATTTATTTTGTAATGAACACTATCCTAATGATGACACTGATATGTCAAAAGTACTTGGAACTAAAAGATGTATCAACACAGTAATTTTCTCTCATCCTTCAATAATAACACCAAAAAGCTTTTCCGCGAGTATGAAAGGATCTTATTGAAAATAAGTAGACAGAACATGCCTAAACTATTCAACGAAACATATATAAGGAACAAGTAGAATATTTATAAATTCAATATGTTTTGTTATTTATTTAGCATCATCATAAATTTTCAGAAGTGAAATAATTCGGAAATATGTTTCAATTTTTAAATTCTATGTTCTTTTGTTTCTTTGCAGATAATGTAAGCTTGTGTTATATGTTCACTTCAAACATTCATTGTATTTGTCATATAATTAAAATCTCTAATAAACACAATTTTTAATACACATTTAAATTATAGTAACATTTCAATAATCACACACAAACACAACCACTATAAGATATGTACTTTTGTATATAAACATGTGTGACAGAGTCCTTCAGAGGATGAAATGCGTCGACTAAGAATAGTTTTCCTCGTCTTTTTAATCATTCTATTCATTTTCAGATACACAAATAATTTACTCTCACACACACACACGTGTGTGTGTGTATATATAATTATATATATATATATATAATTCAAAACACCATCCTTTACACTACCATGGTTTTATACCAGAACAGTAACCATCAGGTAGGCAGTAAGTCTAGGTGCTTCATTAAACTGATCTACATTTTAGTTTTTTGAAAATTGTATTGATTTTTAATTAAGCCATTTTTTTTAAATGTTTGGCAAATATATTTTGTCAAAGGTTTAATTTTGTAAAGTATATATATATATATATATATATATATATATATAACACCCAAGCTTATTACATCTCAAGGCTAGTGGTCTAGTGGAACACCCAGTGAAGGTCAAACTCATTGCAAGGGTGAACACCTGGGAGATAAGCTTGCAAACCACTGCTCTATAGTGGCTACCTGCAATCTGTATTTTTTTTAACGATAGTGCTCAACAATACCTGATGTTTTTCTTCTCATACCCCATATGTTTATCTCATTTATTACTTGCATTTGTAAATACAAATGAAAAATGCCATTTTTGCATGTGTTTTTGTATATCTGGTTACTTGGATTTCACTCTTCTTTCTGTGTTTAATCTCTACCTTCAAGATTTGAATATTACAGACATATTGTTGTTAATGTCCTTATATTTTGCATTTAATATGATTTCCATTAAGAAGATCTCAATGTCAGTTTCTCCTTTGCCTATCTTTGCAGTGTCTCAAGTCCTAAAAGTCCCAGTACACTGAACAAAGCATCTCCTATCCACACAACTCCACCTCGGACTTCTAGGGAAGGCCGAGAATTGATTCACTGTCCCACCCCTGGTTGTGATGGCAGTGGCCATGTCTCAGGAAATTATGCTTCCCATCGGAGTCTGTCTGGCTGCCCCCTAGCTGACCGGGCAACAGTATTAGCTAGTCATGTCGAACAGAAGTGAGTAATCTATAAAAAGAAGTAATACAAAAAAACAAAAAACTTCCCACTACTTAACCCTTTGCCACTTAATCTTCTTAATCTGTTAACCAAGGGTAGATAACTTTTGCCTTTATTCTTGGTAGCTCTTCTTTATCATAAACGTTGCTTTTTTTTTTCACATTTGTTCTATGTATAAAAACTGCTCTGGTTTGTGGTTGATTTGAAAAGAATTTCCCTTAGGCTTCCATGTTGATTTCTCTACATTATAAATATTTTTGCTTTTCTTTTTTTTTTTTTTAATTTGGAAATATTTATCTATTTATTAAAGCCTATGATATATAAAGAGCTTTTTTTTTCTTTTTAATGGATAAACAATAAAAAAAACAAGCCTCTAAAATCTATTTTTTAATAAAATAAATGAACCCTGGGTAAAACATTCAGTGTTTTACTCATTTATTTTATTAGTTTTATGACCCATTTTCTCACTCATGTTCCATAAATTTCTTAAGTTCCATCCTACATGACAGTCTTCTCAAATCACTTCAAACTGAAATGGACCAAGTTCGACTTTAAAAATTGTCCTTGAAGCAAAGGGAAAGATTTTTTAATCAATAATAATTTTTGATTTATGTTTGTGCTTACATATTTCTTATACAACACAGACAATTGTATGTTCTTTGCATCAATTTGATATGCAATTTTTTTTCTTATCTCAAAGAAACATAGAAGTATCAGTTTAACCAATGGCTTACTGTTTTTAATTACATTTGATAATTCATATTACTATTTCATAACAGACATATAAGAACCATATAATTTTATCCTTAATTATTTCCATGATTAAATGGAGGACTACACTTTATACATGCCTGTAATTAGAATATTTTTCAAATGAAACCTGCCACTGGGATTTACTGTTGCTTTGTTCTTCTACATATTAATGCAAAACTTTTTTTTAGTAATTTCTCAACTATAGTAATATCTTGCTTAGTGCTACTATTTACTGCTAGCATTATTTTTCAAATAGATATTAAATTTCTTAAATAATGTTAAAAGACAGTATCATAATCTCTGCACTAACTTTATACTGTCCTTTACACTTAATGTGTCATCTGTAGGAGGATAAACATGTGTCCAATCATAATTGATCATGTGGTGATATACAGGCTGTTCCAAAAGTCGCATTACCATTGATAACCCTGCAAATTTTATACTTTTTTTTTACCAAATGGCATCATGTTTCTATATGTGACAATATATTATTAAAGAATTTTATTGGTCAAATTATGGAGGAAGATGTCATGCAAATTTTCCCTGGTTGCTATTTCACGAGTGTATGTTTTCTGTCAGTTGTCATGTGACTTTTGGAGCACCATGTATATTAACACCTGGTGATATTTCACCAGCTTCTGAAAGTAACAATGAGATGAGATACACAGCATCAATCCATTCCAGCTTGTTGACTCAACAATATCAAATGCTTTAAAATGATTGACAAAATATAAGAAGCTATAATTCATATTCAAGCAAACTTGCTTTCATTTGTAAGTGGGGTCTCTATTAAAACCAGCTATCAAACTTGCATTCTATAATGACCCTATATATTGTTGCATTTTTAGGGATGTATCTTAAACACTGACCAAGGTATTACTGTTTGCCATTATCTTAAATATTCAAAAACGTAGTATATGAATTCATGGTTTGCAGCAGCAGTTTATAAATGTATCTTCCACTGACAGCAGATGAACATATGATTGCCTGTAAACTATGTCAACACAGACCTGAATCTTAAATGAATTGTCACACGCTTTTTCCTAATGTCATAACAATTAGTTTGGCTTATTTGATTTGAAGCTTACTAATTGCTTTAACTAACCAGTAGCAATTAATTTCTTATGATGTTTATTTTGCCTCCTCTTTTAAAGAGGATTCCTTTATAATTTCTGAGGAGATTTTATATCTTTTCAAGGTTGTGAAAAACAAACATCAGAAAATAGCCACACAATTGTTTCATAATACAATATTTTTACCCATGTTTTTATGTTGGGTTTTTATCTGAAATTCAAGATGATTTTATTATTGTTATGTAATGAATTTGTGTTATCAAACTGTCTTTATTAGCTTTTTTTTTTTTTATAAACATTTCAACTGGTCATTCAATCCTTCCCCCCGTCTTCCTTGGATGAATGTGGTATTCAGTAAATAAGCTAATTTTCTTCTTACTAAGACTATTTAAACACATTTTCTGAATTCTACATTCACTTTCAACTGGAAAAATTGACCAGCAGAAAGAGTATAGCAAAAATAAAGATGAGGATAATAGTTAAGAAATATTGTTTAAAATGTTTGGTAACAAAATGATGAAAGAATATTGTAAGTGAATTTTCATATTTTACAATCTTACATTGAAATATTTAAAACATTATTTTTTACAACCTTGAAAAGACCGTAGTTAAAACGAAAAATTTTACAAGAGTTATATTTTTATCCCAAAACATCATTAAAAATTTTCGAATGAAAATAACATTTAATTATTCCATGAGATAATTGTTTATTGGCTGATCCTCCATCATTTTTTTTTTATTCAACTTGTTTGGCTGTCAAAATTAAAACGTTTGTGGCTCGTTAGTACAGCAATGTTTATGAATATCCAGGGCTGTAACAAGAAGAACAAGTATTTTTGAAGTGTTATGTGCTTTTCCCAATCACCCTTAAATCTAATATACATGTAAAGCACTTTAATTATGAAAAGCTGTAAAATATTAATGGATAAGACGTAATGAAAATCTATTATTTATTTATTGTTTGTTAAACAGTTGTTTTTCTTAACTTTATTCCAGTTTTTTTTTTACCAAAAAAAGCTTTCGCACAGGAAATTGTAAAAATAATCTCAATGATATTCCCAACAGGGAAGATGTATTACATGTGGGCAAAAGTTTTCAGAATGTCTTATTGAAAGTAAACAGCTTACTACTGTTATTTAATTTATAATTTTCAAAAAACTGAGGATGCTGGGTACTTTTGTACACACCTGGGAATTGTTAGAAAAGGAAAATATGAAGTAGCACATTTGCAATTACAGATTGAAACGCTGAAATGAATTTATGTGGATTAATTCTTGGAGGCACACCAAAGAACTTTGATGAGGCAAAAAACAAAAAGCCAATTCAATCTTCAGATGAAGAACTACTGGAATTTGCCAATTTGGAAATTTTGCCAACTCTTTTTTTTCTTTTTTTTTTTTTTTTTTAAATCTAATGCTTCCAGACACACTGTAGGATTTAAAAATAAACAAAGTATTTTCATTCTTATAGAACCACAACTAAGAAGTACATTTAAAATAAATGCCACTTTGCTTCATGCCATTTTTTATATTTTTCTACATGAATCTGTTCGGAAAAAATATCATTTCAGATTGAGAAAGATTTTGAGTCATTGAGATTTCTGTAATACATATATAGCATATAAAATCCATCCACCTATCCATCCATATATATATATAATGACCATAAATTTCATAATCATTTGAAATTGAAAGTTGCAGCCAATCACAAATTGACAAACAAGAAAGTTTGTTACTAACTGATTACCATAAAATTTTAAAAGAATTTGGAAATCAAAAATTGGGTTCTATTTACAACCCAAAGACTTCTATAATTAAGTGAAGTGAGTACACAGACATTTTGCTTCTCCTTAGAGGAAAGTTCTTGTACTACATTACTAGTACTATTACGGATTACTAGTAGAATTATTCAGTGCTTTTGATGTTTTCATATAATATTATATCTTTCAAAATGTAATTGAACCTTGTTGGGCTGTGATGTTCTTTGTGGTCAATCAGTCACTGGATCCAGTGGTGGTTTTCCCTATAGAAGGAAATACAGTTTCAAACCCTGCCAGTGAGCATATCTTTCAAATATGCAAGATAGTAGACATAATTGACACTGTTTAAAATAAATAAAAAAAAAAAAAAAACTGGCATTTACTCAAACGTGTG